TATTCAGAAAGCTTTGTAATTTAGAATACTGAAAATATGGTTTATTATTTACTCGTGAAATACTTTGATTAATGCTCTAAAATCATGACACACATTTTTCTTGTGTTTCAGGTATCAAATAATAATGATGACGTTGTTCGTAGGTGAAAAGCCCAGATGACGACTTCCTGAAAATGTTAAATCAGCGGCACAAGTTTATATTGATTTAAATTGAATTATTATTTTGTTAAGCGCCATACAATTAACATAAATTTCATAATTTGCACGACCACTTCTGCCTAATACATTTGGTGTATTTTTTTTTTTGGTCAAAGGTCGTGCATGGAAAGTGTATGGTGACATTCCCCATATGGACGATTTCTACGCTCTTGAGTGAATTTCTCTAATGGCAGTTCTGTTCAAATATTCACAGCTTAATGAGACTAATTTAATGAATAACTGTCTTAATAAAGCACGTTTTTACTATCTTTTTTGAACAAAATTTACTTTTCTAATGTAGTATGTAAGTGAAATTTTTTAATGAAGAATTTCCTGATAGAACATAAGTTCCAAAAGGGAACTGGGGGAGAGATTGCGAATACGCGATATTTGATAATTAATTAGAGACTCATTAGAAAAAAATTCAAATACGAGAGAAATCATGATATTTTCTAATAATCAAATCTCACAACCCTATATCTTGGCATATAGTGTTTAGAAATTCTATTAAATCTCAGAATGATTAAAATTGTCAATCATACCTCACTCCATGCTCCGAATCCACCAACGATCAGAGGGTCTCCATCTGTGTGTATAACGTCAACGAACTTAGCATCACTTGGATCCAAACGAATTGAAGTCGACTCCCCCTCAAAAGCTGGACCAGCGGGATCCAAACCTGGAAATTATGCATTGTCATTCGTATTATTATTGTTCGCGAGTTGCAACTTCTTTGTAATTGGCACAAACAAAAAAAATGATCTAAACAAATGTTTCATTGTAGAAGCCTACTCAGAAAGTCTTGAGAAATTCGGTAAAAATGTGAGTATTAGTCAACAGTTTGCAAAGTATTTTGAGGAGCCATTATTTAACTAGTCCTAAAACCAAAACTTTAAAAAACAACAAGTATATCAGTCAGAACAAACAAATGTGACTACGCAGTAAATGTAGACATACAAAGATGTCTTACGAAACACAACAATGATAAAAAACAAACAACCACCGTTACTGTATTTATTAGCAATATCTTCTAGAAAAAAAACTTAATCCCCAATATTCTTCTATTGGCCAAGCGTACAACATGAGGAAGTTTGAACAGATTCTACATGTTTAATTTTCAACAATAAAATATATCTATTGCAAAACAAGTAGAGTATATTCATGAAAGGTCAGTGTATATCCAGGTGTATCTGCACCTATTAAAACACACATTGTCAAACAGCAGTAAATAAGAATTATCTGTACCGCCTTATGGGACATTCACTGGATGCTAAATTCATTAATTTATTTGATTAACGACCTACATATAAAACATATAAATAACTAATCAAAACACGTCCCATCCTGCCACTTACCGGAAATGCGGGCGATGTCGGGGATCCGACGACCAGCGTGCCCACTGGCATGGGCACCAAGACTAAACCCGATAAGGTGAATTTGATTGGAAGAATGGCGTGTCTCGTCGACTAGAAATTGTATGAACTCTGCAATCTCATATCCGACTTCATCGGTATTTTTCGCAGATTTGGAATAAACATCATTGGCACCCCCTTTCCAGTCAACAGCGAATACATTATAGTCATCCTGCAACAGATTTGGTAAGAACGTAAACAATTCCGAAATTGGCCAAATAAAGTTGCGTGTAAATTTTACGTCAACATCTGTATATATGTATTAAAAACAGTACAGATGTAAGTAACGTTTTCAGATGTTTGAATGTAAGGTGTTGTGGTCTAATTTGACGCCAATTTTAGCTGCTTGCATTTAGATATCTGAAAAATACTTTCCTCATGAAGTGAAATCCACAACATCTCTAAAACGTGTTTGTTGCACCCCTTTAGGTAGTTTATTCCACATATGACATCTTACAGAGGGGTTTCATGGGAACGTAATACATTATTTTTCATCCGCACTATTGACTTTTCGTTGTTATCTGACTACATGACACGTTTCATCTAATGACAATTGACCATCCATTATTCATATATAATTCCTGGGATACAGATTGTTTTGCTTATAGTAATCGCATACTAGTATACAATTTACTCTCAAGCATACTTGTTATCAGCCAAGCAATTCAACTAATTTGAAATAACATAAGCGACAGAAAATGTAATGTAAATGTAAAAGGAAGAGCCTGAATATGAATCTAAATAACAGCACTTCAAGATGGCAACTCCAAGAGAATCCCTATCCAAGGGAATTACCTAACATCAGGAGGTGCTTTTAGCGCACGTCGTCCAAACAGTCGATATTCTGCATTTCTAATCCCTTCTCAGAAATTAATATTCTGAGGATAGAATTCGACACGTGCCCGGGCCTAGTAAGATCAGGGCAGTGTTTCAAGATCAGAGACTTCACAGTCACATGACAATCCAGCCCATCCACATGGATCAGAAAATGTATGAGCTTTGTGGGAATGGCTTCATCCATGGTAGCTCTCAGAGTACATCCATTTCAGATATTAGTAGTATGAGTCCATTGGTGCTGGTTATCACTGAACACTGAATTTGCATTGATCCCACAGAGCCTTACTACTCTCAAGTGACGGTGGGGTGGGGTGGGGCCAAAATCAGCATAAGACCCATCAGCTCCAGCCATATTACTGGTCATGGATGCCTTGATAGTAGAAACGAGGCCCACCTCACGGACAGTAAACCCAACAGGAAGCGAAGCTTCACATGAACATACTAGAGATATTGGCCCTCAAGAGGGTGCTGGCATTGGACAAAGTACAGAACAAGAAGGTTCTAGACCGTTGTGAGAAGTTGACTGTGGTGGAAAACACCACAAAGCAGAGGAACGAAATCTCCTATCCTAAACAAGCTGATGGGGAGATGTTGCTCTGGGAATGGAGTTAAAAGAACTGCAAACGATGTGATGACTGAGAGCTTCTAAGTCTACCCTTGAATTGCCGATCACCCAGGGCCTGGCAAATAGCTCGTTTTCCCCATGGTGAACGTCAATGACCAACCTGTTCTTCAAGCTCAATCTGTACCTGTCTTGCCTGACAGATCCCTTCTGCATATGCAACCGATGTGATTTCAACCATTCTCATTCGCGTTGTACTGGAAAAAGTACGGGCATCATCTGCATCGAATGACATAGTGACATCAGTTATTCCGAATGTGCCTGTTATATGATTATTTCCTCTTCTTCTGTCACCTTTAGTAGCAACGTCAGTATACCTGCCATGCGACCCATCACACCTAATGCAAGACCACTATTATTATCCCCTCACTCTTGCGAATTATGGGCAGCGAAACAATTACTGCTTCATAGTCATAGGGGAGGTACTAAACAAATATTTATCTTAATGGCCTTCCAGTCAGGGGCATCATTAAACATGTTTTTAGCTGTTAGATTTCGGCGGACGCTGAATGTCTTCACTAGCCATCACGTATCAGATTTTGCTCATAAGGCTGGCGATTTGCAATCGGTGCCTTTTAGACGCACGTTTCGTTTGGAGAGTTAAATTTCTTAGTTGAGAGTCTCAGTTCACGTGTTTTAATCTGTTGTTGTCAGCCTTTTCCCAGCTCACCAGAGTTTCTCTCAGTTGAAGAAATATGTTTTTAGTTTACTATCGGCATTATCGTAATTAACATAATACATTTCGACCCACTACATTCTATGCATTGACACCTACTGTTGACTTAGAATTCTGGCACTTCCTAATATGCTTTGTACTCTTCATTGGATAGCAGTAAAGTAAGTATGTGTGATCTTATACACATACATATTCCACTCAAGATAGTTTGAAATTCCAAATAGTGAAGTCATACCCCCGCCAGATTTCTCAGTGGCAAACAAATATAACCCGAAGTCCCTCAACTGACCGATTTTATCCGCGCCTGGGTGTTATAATTATGAAGTAAGTCATAACCTTCCAATGCTCAACATTGGACAGTGGTAAGATAAGTATAACTTCACAATTTCAAATTATTCAAGAGTTTATTTGGTATCATTTCAATATTAATTATAGAAATATACAAATATAAGTATTGTATTCTTTTTCTGATTGTATGTCAAGATATACCCTAGATAGCCTTATATCCTTCTTAGAAATTGAATTCGTTTCATTACATTGTAATATACATGTAGTAATGTGTAGTAATGCTCAAATAATCACAGTATATATCTAAAAAAAATAATATTATAATGCCTTATGCTTAAAATTTATTGTTTATGATTAGAAAAAAGATATGCTCTGTGAAAGTTTGGTATTTTCGTCCTGATTTGTAGGAATCTGAAAAACGCGTTTCACAACATGTCTCTTATTTAGTTTTATGCTGCATTCAAGATGGCGGCTCCCATATAGTAAATATCGTATTTATTTTATTATCACGTGTGCGCCAGCTGACTGTGAGCTTGACTGTAGAGACTCTTTATAAAAAACCTTTAGTTATGGTCAAGCTATAGTGAAATGTTGGTTTACTCCAGTTTTTAGTGTGGAAACACATTAGTACTTAATTGATTCTTATATTACTAATAACTCATGTACAACATTTTTCAGCAAGATGTGTTCTCGTTACCACAACGCAAAGATTGGCACAGTCTCTCATACAGAGACTTTTCCAATTTCAATGTCGTATAATTGAACAAAAGGAAATTGTGTCACAAATGTAGTATGTCGATTTTATCATATATTCAATATTCTATGTATATTATGTATATATACAACTATAGAGACATTGTACAAACTAATCATTTCAAACGTATTTGTGTTGGTGTTTCCTTAATTATCTGAAGATCTTCCAATAATATTAAAAAGACCTTCTGAAATAATATAATTCCGTATTATAGTTATTTTGAAATAGTGTGATTCCCGCGTATTTCGTTTTTTTATTTAAATATTATAATATTAACGTATTGAAGAGTATATTGGAAATTAACTATGAAGTACTAAGGGTTCCATGCTGCCATACAATTCGTTTAATAAGTGCATCTCATCGGCACGGCCTTCAGCGAGGGTATTAATTGCATGTGGATTTGTAATTTCCTTTGTTACCTATGTTTTTCATTTTTATACGATTTTAATTATGACATTTGGATAAAAACATGAATCTTTACAAAATGCACCGTGACCCTCCTTTGGTTGTAATGTGCCGGCAATCATCAGGGAAATTAGATATTCATCGTATGCTATATTAATATAAGTGTATACAATTCCCATACTAGTTGTTCTTAAAACTATTTTTTATTATATTGGATTTATTGGAAACATTTTAAAAAACTATACACAAATTATTGTTATTGTCTCAATAATCACATGTTCCCACAATGGTAATATTTCCATTCCGCTAATAATATACTCTGCGGATTTTGGTGCAAAAATCATGAGAAAAATCTATTTTTCATTTTGACCGAAGTTTTGATAATGAACTTAGATTACTGGTGTTATTTTGAATATTAAATTTTATTAGTTTATTATGCTGATTGTACTTTTAAACAACAAAAAACATTTTATCTCTCAAAACTCCATAACCCATGAAATCGTCCATTGACATGGTGGAAACGCAAATTCTTCTAGAGAAATTTCCCTTCAAGTTGAATTATGTCATTACTTTACTATTACTTTTAGAATCCTAGATTAGTGGGATAGAGTGACTCTTTGTGCTACACCTCGGTAATCTGCCGAGTGACTTTGGTATAACAAATTAGTTGGTTGCTTCGAGTATATTCGATCTATATTTGGCAGTTAAGAGCAAACAAACGTTTGTATCGCTGATACGGTGAATCAACATGCGTACATCTGACATGTAGGCTCATTGGTGAACTGTCTCTTGCCTATGTCAGCATAACATTGTGTTTGATGGTAGCTTCTGTGGGTGGGACACTAGAAGGATGAATAGCTGGGGGAAACACGCCCTGCATGGCAAATTTAGTGCTATCAGTGTCATTGTGATGTTGACCAACCAAAGCAATTCAGTAGTGTTAAATCATCGAGTGGGAAGGAAAGAAACTCCCATACCATCCAACAACATTGCATTTCAATATTGGCCGCACAGAATTTGAGTCACAAACACTGGGGCCTGTTTATTTTGATGGTTGGCGATTAGACCCAGTCCATCATTAGAAATGGCACCTGATGTAATATAGCTTCTAACAGAATATTATTGGAAAGGCACCACTGTCAGGTCATTCAGTTACTACTGTCTTTCTCATCGTCAGTGTAGAGAACCGATTCCAGTGTACATGTGTGTGTTGAATGGCAATCATTACGAGGTTACAATGTTCGGTAGTGGTGTAGATAATGATAACAACTTCTTGACTACCATGACTCCCTTAAAAATCGACATGGTCTTGCTGACATGTGATCAACGACAAATTCTGAGTATAGGTAATGAAGTATGGGTAGTATGTCATTGGGGATTATAACTACAAATAGACAAGCACGGCTCTTATAAGCGAATGATATCATTTAGTTACTTGAGTTCTTCAGTGTTTGAGTATTGAGATGCCACACCTCTTGGGATCAAAATATGCAAGTACCACGTATAATAGCATTGGGTCGCCACACTGTTCATTCCATAGTCGAAACACATGTCGTGGTTATCACAGTTAATTTTTTCAGCATCACAACCTTGGCAACCGTTTAACAAAGACCATGAAGGTTTCTCCTGTAGATGGGGCAACTTTCCCAACGAAAAAAATGTTTCGAAAATGTAACACCAATTCGAACACTAATACAAAATCAATTGTTATTAAATAGGATATGATTCTGTTGAATAAATTCAATGTTTGGATAATTTATAAACGATTCCACTGATAGTATGTCCAAGTTGTGTAACAGAATTATGTCACTACAATGATGCTGTGAAATAAAATATTGAACATGCGTATGCGTGAATCGTGAATAGTAAGTTAGTTTGCTGTGTCCGGCGATCTATCTGCTTTTTGGTGGATAACTTGTACGGTCTCCTGCTTATTGCCGAAACCTCGGGCTGTACATCGCTGTGTTATTTGGTTAGTCTTTTGTTTTAGTAAATTTGTATCGGATGGTTGCTTTTTTAGAAAATAAAGTGTCATAAAATACCAAATAATATATCTTCTTAGTCAATTATTGGGAATAACATTATCGGCTTCATTGTTTCAATATCCGTGACAGCTGAAATTTGTCTTGACGCTTTGTATGAAATAAATGAGTTTGCGTTTCCGACTTTTATGACATTGGTAATAAACTTGGATACGCAATCAATGCGTGGCATGGTGACTGCGGGTATTCAACACCGTTGTGATCCATTGCTATCAATTGAGTTTAATACGTTTTGTCAAAACAGTTGATAGTGAATCGGAATAACACACCGCACTATTCATCATGTTTCCGATATTTTGTCACACGCTTATTACAACACATACGTGTTCCGGTAAAAGTATACTAAGATATACCAGGACATTTCCGTTTCCTTAAACATAAACAGTTGGATCACGTGATACACGTTTCAGTGTATTACATCACGTATAAGTATGCCATGGACGCCTGTGATTAGCTGATCAGCTACTTACGTAGTCCAGAAGTCTGTCTTTCATATCTATAATCCATGGTTTTCCGGCATTCTCTAGATATCCGTGAATGATAAACTTGGAATCGTCACGACTATTGAAGGTAGAATCGTGCAAGCTATCTGGGTCGTTTCTATCGACGACGGTATACGAGTCACGACTGGAGTCAGTGTAAAGACGAAATTCTACTTCAAAGCCCTGTGTGCCTGTCAAGATAACGGGGATAAATTATATCTCTAAGGTAACGGGAAGGGTGATTTATTTTGTTAAATATTTTTTACAATCGAAAACACATCTTTAAACTTAGATGAATCACTATAGCAAATCAAAAAATGTGAATTTTCTGTGGAAACTACTCAAATAAGTTTTTTTGCAAACAGTCGGTGAATGATGTTGAACAGTAATGTTTGACAAATGATTATCTTTTGTTTCGTATATTTACATAACAATGAATAATAACATATCACTGCCAACATACACAATGTTTTCCCCAAATTTGCACTTCGTATGAAATGATTCTGTTAGCAGTATACAGCAGCAATAGTCAGTAAGTATTTTGTTGTTAGTAATATTTGAACAAATATCCGTGTTTTTTTATATATTTATTTGTTTATTTATTATCTATTACAGGATAAAAAAAGCAAATAACAGAGTTCTGACTGGTGTAGAGATGATTGAAAAATGAATAACACATTTTCCGTCCTAATGCACCCAATGTGAGTTACAAACATCCCACTCGCGCAACAACCCCGTTAACCCCATTAACATGCGAAATGCGTTGCTGTATACCACCCTTAGAGTATCAATATATTTACCATGGTATACTAACCATGAACAGTGAACTATTAACAATACATATTGGTACAGAACGTGTGAAATAAAGATAATTTAACATTAGTAATAACGATTCATAAATTATCATAAAGTAAGGTAAGTAAGTTATCATATTAAAAAACGTTGTGTTTAACGTTTAATATCAAGGTCATCATAGAAAGAATCGGCTTAAATACAATCCATGCAAGTATGAGAAGAGACTACAGTCAATCGCCAAGGTAAACTGTTGGTAAATTGGCAATATTATGAGAACCTCTACAAGGAAAAAAAGTATATGCACTCAGACTTCTTTGGGTGATAAATATTATTATTATCAGAGACATACGCCTCGCACATTTTCACTAGTGATCTTAAACCTCGAATAGAAAGAGTCATAATCACCATATCACCCACATACAAAAGGTGGTTCATTGCTATACCGCCTATGTTGCATCCTATCCCACATATCTTTAACTGAGTACTAAGCTGATTCATATAAACATTAAAAAGTAACGGAGATACAACGCTTCCCTGCCGTACACCATTATTAACCTTATAATTATTAGAAAGAGCGCTACTCCATTTGACACACAACAACTGTGTACGATACCAGACTGTTAAAATACGAATAATATAACCGGGTAAACCCGTATTAATGAAAAGTTAACAGTGATTGACACTGCCAAAAACCTTAACTGCATCTAAAAAACAAACACAGGACTATTATAACACTAATAATAGTTGATTATTTTTTTCCTAGCATAAATGCAAAAGTCGGTAGAGTGAGATTCTTTGAAACCAAATTGAAAGTTTTTTCGTAGCGAGATACATTTTACAGCGCTCTACAATATTAATTTAGTACTTTCGATATAAATATAGATATAGCAATCGGTCAATAGTTATTCCTTGGTGATTAGATCTCACCTGTTTTATCTTAACAAGTGGAATAAGAATAGTATTCATAGAATTACTGGGCCAAAAGCCATGACTCAATAATGCTGTAAGAAATAAGGCCAACAAATAACACAGCATATTTAAAATGTTCAGCGGCAAAATTTTCGGCAATATTGACATTACCAGTAGAATCACCGACTAACAAGTCGAACCTTCGATAAAAAATACCGAATTATAGCCATGTTGTGTTAGCGATAAAGTAGAACTATCACGTGCAGTAATTTCCATTTTCGAATTCAAATTCGGCAATTCGTTCACAAAAAAACAATAAGGGATACAGGATGGGCAGATGTTGACAATAGTCAAGCCGTGACGTAATGCCATGTGCTTCACTAAATGTAAATAAGCAGCCTTGAGAAAAAAAGCATAGTAACCATGATCTGAGCAGAACGATGCATATTTATCACCAACTAGTTTATTGGGGTGTGCAATCCAATCGCTAATCATTTACATGCTGTTAAACTACTGTCGATTTTAGTTAGATGATGCATATAAGCATTACTATTGTTCTCGCAATCTGTAGGTAAATATACACAAATATGGAGAATACTTCTATCTATATAATGCAAGTTAAGACAAGAATTATATTATCGTCATAATGTTTGACACTTACATTAAAACGATCCAAGGCCAAATTTGTCCACATAATAGCAACTCTACCATATTACCTACCTAATCTAATACCATGGACATAGAGCATAGGTGAAATACCCGATGCATAGAAATCTGCGTGAATATTTGAAAGTATCGTTAACTCGAAGTGACAAAGCCAGTGTTCCTGCAACATGACAATATCGTGAGTTTCACACAGACTTTTAGACTGGCCACAGTCGGGACGATTTTTTCAAACATAGGTGTAATTTTGAATTAAAAAAAAAATATGTTCCCCACTCGCCGCAAAATCATTTCTTTCGCGATCACGCTAGTTTTCGCGGTCACAAATAATTTGTTTGTTGTTGTAAAAATTTGCCAGTCTAACAGACTTTTGACGGCGTCATTTAGACTTGAAGCCACAAGAGTTATAAGATGCAATGCGAAGATCCATTATTGCTTTAATTTGGCATCTCTTTGCGTAAATTATCAATTTTGTTCATTAACTGTATCACAATTATTGGTAGACCACATTGCAATTTTTAAGGTTATCATTGCTTGGCACAACGAACGAATTTAGCAGTTGCTACATTTTTCATGTCTTTCATGTCACCCCTGTCAAATATATTACATTACAACGATGATTCTCCAATGAAAGCTGCGAATATGTTGGGTCTTAAAATACAATGACTTGTCACAGAATAATAGTCCGCCAAAAGCTATAACTAGTGGTCAATTACAGGGCAGGAAACACTTAAAAAAAACAGGTTTCAAAAACAGTCACACCGCATTTACATGGAATTAGTAACAATACTACCTTCCATGGTAACACTGAATACATCCCGTAAACTTCAGCCGGAAATACTGCAGTGTATTCTGGAAATCGCAAGATAAGTCATTTAACAAGGTCTGTCACGTGACGCATATATAAACAAATGACGGACAAACAAACAAATTGCTAGTGTGTTCATATGTGTTCCTCTATATCCAGGCTTCCAAACAGTATAAGAAAATGAAGATGAGATAACAGACAGAAGATTCTGATTTCAAAAATAGCATAACCTCCTTCTCACTGCCTTAATTCATATATTCATATCTTAATTACGGTGACTGCATGACATGGCTGGGTAGTAGAAACTTGATATGTTGTCGGTCAAACGTGAATAACTATGAACTGTTTTGTTGTGTGAGTTGAATGAAATGATAGTACGTTTTGCTTCGTTTTAGATACGAAAGAGTTTTTAAAATAGTTTGCAAGAGATGATCCGGAGACAATCGAGTGAAATTTAGATAGAGACGAGTAAAGATCTATATACAAATATGTATTCATACATATAATATTTATATAAATAATGCCAATACAGGCGTGTGGGCTATTAATTAATACAAAATAAAGAATTGTCGAATTTCTATCTTCTACGCCGTGCACATTGATAAAATTCAGTCGCGAAAAAAATATTTTTCACCTAGGAGAACATCATAATTAATGACTACCAGTAATATGTGAATGGTGATCTCTCTTACAATCTAAACGCCCGGTTTATATCTAAAATACAACTTCTCCTTATAAAAAATCATGAAAATTCGTTCTCAATTTATTTGGCAGTGAATAGTCAATAAAATATGTTGTTTCGATGACAACGAGATGCAAATTGATTTCTAATCGATTGGTAATTGTTTTCAAGAGCGTCTGTCCTGAAAATAACGTTGGTTATTGTTTCGAGGACAACCACTCAAGAAAAGTGTACACGAATCAATTATAACATTTTAGTTATAAATGAAAAATTGCTGTTTCCATGGCAATAAGATTTACTCTATCAACATCTAATAGATCGGCCCGTTTCAAGCACAACTCGTCCTGGAACAATTCAATGGTTTAAACTATGGTGGTTTAGAATGCTATATTGTTTTTCATGAAAACTTTTTTTTTTTATCAAACTTCGAATATGTTATTAATTCATTTCTATTTTGTTATACCGGGTGCAAATCCCAATATTGCATGTATGTTATGTTCCTTTGGAAGTACCTCTGGTATACACTGTGTCCAAGATTGACTACATAGCGTTTAGCCACATTAACACCCCCCCCCCTACTTCTAAGGCCAGCAAGCCCAGAGTAACATATTGCAATAATATTCTTACCTGACAAGACACAGGCTATAGTTACAAGAAACGCAATAAGGTTTAACATCGTGTACGGTATGCAGCTACCAAATAACAATTATATGTATGTTTATATATACGTGTTATATCTTATCTGATCTTATGAGATCAAGATGAAGATGAAAACAGACGTTAAAAGTTCCATCAGGCAAATCTACTCTACAATATCAACACAATACTATTATGCAAATAATATAAAGATTGCTATAATTACTTAAAATATTATCAAGATTTTTTTTCTTCCGAACCATTAGAATATTTGTTTACCGGATTGTCTTATCGCTTGTGAAACATGCATTTGGCCGTGGTTGATAGCAGGTAGTTCAAGCAGATGACGTGCGCGAAGGTCAAAAATGACATGGAGGGGGGTCATTTGTGATGCAAGACGTAAAGGTCATGTGTAACGTATCATTGATTAGAATTCATGATACAGATATTAATCAAAATGTATTCTAAATGTGAGATGAAAAGAAACAATTACTAACAACTAATTTTGACAAGAAAATGCAGAAGTATATTTGGAATAATTCATAACGAAATATATTCCTTATCCCAACCAATGATAATTTTCATAATTATGGATTACATACAATATTACAGAAAAAATGGACAATGTGATATATTCTCTATAGTTTTGCATTTGATTTGTCTTGAATTATGTTCAACATAAATCATCTATGAACAGTAACTTCGGGTATAGTACACTTCGTTTGTATCCTTTTTGCAAAAACAATTATCGTGCCCTTGAATGTTCATAATCTCTTTCATTGGGTATGTTGGAAGTGAATAATATTGTTGAATACAGGGCGAATAATAACAAAATCATATCACCTGATTTACAGATGAAATTCTATGATATTAATATCCTGTATATAGTCCATCAGCTGGGTGGAGGGTAGTACTCATCTCAGGGGACCAGCTGAAACCATTTCTAAAATTATCCTTGGACACTTTCTAGCATAAAAAAGTATGATAGCCATTGTCAAATAGTAGCTTTCCATAAAATTTAAGCTATCTTTTAATTAACAGGTGAG